GTTTTTTATTTTGTCCTGATATGTTAGTCATGTTGAATTTCCTTTTCATAATCTTATTATCCATGATACTCAGGAGTTCACAACCGCTCAAGTCCTAACAATGCAATTCTGTAAGGGTTTCAAGGTAATGGCACGGTTGATGTACTGAAAGCCTTAGAAAGTCTAATCCCAAACTATTTAAATTGTTAGAAAAGGCTAGAAATGAGATGTACTGAAAGCTTAGCAAAAGGGGAAAAATGAAAAATTCTTGAGTTTCCTACAAGAATTACAATGTGTTGGGAAAAGGAAGTTTTAGGTTGACTTCGTCTAAATTAAGATAGTATTTCATGTATACAATATATGTATATATTTGTTCTTATACCGTAGATCGTCATGCAGCTTCTTGTGTAGACTGTACTTGTTGGAAATTCTACTAACTCGAATTTCCTTAGGTTTCAGGTTGACGATGTGGAGGCCCTCAAAAGAACTAATTTGAGTCCAGAAAAGGTTCGTAACAGCTTCTTATGTAATTAAGAAATTCAATTGGAATACATCTTTGGCATGTGGCAAGCATTAGACCCCAATATTATAATAGGTTGCTAAAGAGTTGGTTGAAGTGTTTGCTGAAATGATATTTGTTCATGGATTCATACATGGCGATCCGCATCCTGGAAATATACTAGTTTCTCCTGGAGGCAAGAATGGCTTCTCTCTAGGTACGTTTTGTGTTCATAATGCTATTCTGACCTCCTAACTGGCTCCAGATTCTAACCTTTAATCTCTTTCAAAATCATGGTTGTATGAAAAAGTTCTGTTAGACCACGGAAACTGTAAAGCACTGGATGAAGGATTTAGGCGTGACTTTTGTCGGTTATGGGAGGCTTTGATTCTTCTAGACTCGACCAAAATACAGGAACTGGGAACACGGTTTGGGGTTGGCCAATATGCCAAATTCTTCCCTGTCATCTTCACCGGAAGAACAAGTGAAAGGTTCTTTCTTTCCCTCTGCAATAAATCGAAGCTGTCACACGTTTTTGTGCTTATCTTTTGTTTCTGCATCTTCTTGGCGATAGCAAATCAGGACTGGGAAAAGGAATGTCTATCCAAGAGAGGCAAAAACTGAAGCAAGAGCTGAAGCTTCTGAGATTGGAAGACATAACCACTTTCATGGGGTCTCTTCCACCTGACTTTCTCACCGTACTGCGAACAGAGTAAACTCCTCCTCTGTTCTACTAGTAACTGAATCTGGAAATGGTAAGTTTATCCATGCGACTAATACTTGCTTTGGTCTATCACAGTGGACTCATAAGGTCAATCACATTGAAGTTGAGTGCTCCACAACGGGTGAGATTACTAGCTTATGCCAAATATGCGGTATATGGGCTTGGCTATAACCCGACTTCTGAACCAGGTAACTTGATCTGAGAACCCTTGCGCTGTTGGAAGTTTGAACTTGTCTATTGAGTTTTACCAGGATGAAGCTAATATTAAGGTTTTTTGTGCTTTTTCTAGATTTTGTTGAGAAGTCGATGATCTCCAAATCGGTCATGTTAGTGAGCTACATCCGCTTACGTCTTATTCTGGGTAAAGAAACTACGAGTCACTATCTAAATAATCAGTTATACTAATACTGTGTGTAAGTTTCTACTAATTCTATGGTTTCAGAGTTGATGGAACTCTTCCAAGGAATGAAGAAGCTGAAACATACCATCTATACTTTTTATGGACGACTCGTCGACGGCATCACAAGAAGTGTAAAGGTATCGAGTGTTACATCCATTGTATGAATGGCTTTTTATGCTAGAGAAATCGGTTCAAAAAGAGTCTTACTGATTTGGAATTAGAAATAAGATCATCGATTATTTGGCATTTGTTAATGCCACAACTAGTCAGAACAAAGGACCAGTGAAATTTGTGTTAAAAAAATTATTCATTGATTCGTCTCGCATGGATTAGTGGTTGGCCTGTAACTATACAGATAAGAGATAACACCATAATATGCGACTAGCCATGCTATAAAATCGCTAATATTGGATATCAAACAAGTTCAGTTGATTATTCTTTTCAATCCCTAACTCATTAGTTAAATATTTGTTACGCAAGATGGGCTAATATTGGATATCTAAGCTATTATGCAAGAGACTTAAAAGGCTGATTCCACGACTGATCTCTGAAACTCAATCCGCTTTTGTGGCAAAACGGTTGATTACAGACAACATCCTGATAGCACAAGAGAATTTTCATGCTTTAAGGACCAACCAGAGATGTAGACTCGATTTTATGGCAATTAAAACAGATATGAGTAAAGCTTATGATAGAGTGGAATGGAGTTTTTTAGCAACGTTGATGCTTAAGATGGGCTTTGATGCACGACTGGTTGATCTCATCATGTGGTGTGTCACGTCGGTCTCATATCAAGTCTTAGTCAATGGACAGCCGAGAGGGCGGATCTCTCCAAAGAGGGGCCTGAGACAAGGAGACCCCTTATCCCCCTTTTTGTTTATCTTGTGCACAGAAGCCCTAATCTCGCTTCTAAACGGTGCAGAAGCTGAACAGAAGATCGTAGGTCTCCGTGTGGCTCAGGCGAGTCCAAGGACCTCTCACCTCCTCTTCGCGGATGATAGTCTTTTCTTTTGTAAGGCTGAAGTAAGCCAATGCAAAGAGATCATGGACATTATTGACGTTTATGGGAAAGCATCGGGACAAAAATTAAATGCGGCAAAATCCTCGATGTTTTTTGGAAATCGTGTGGATCACCTTCGAAAGCGAGAAATTAAAGAAGTTTTGGGCTTCTCGACTGAAGGAGGCATGGGAATGTACCTTGGGTTACCCGAACATATCTGTGGCTCGAAAACAAAAGTCTTCTCTTATGTACAAGACAGGATGAATGGGCGAGTGAACAACTGGTCATCGAGACTACTCTCTAAGGGGGGAAAAGAAGTTCAGATTAAGGCGGTGGCCCAAGCAATTCCGACATACCCAATGTCGTGCTATTTGATCCCACAAGGTATCACCGACAAACTAAGCAGCACGACTTCAAATTTTTGGTGGAGCTCGAAGTAGAACAGCAGAGGTTTACATTGGATAGCATGGGACGAGATCTGTACCCCTAAGAGTTTAGGGGGACTAGGTTTCCGTCACCTCCATGATTTCAACTTAGCACTTCTTGCAAAACAATTATGGCGTTTGATTCACTACCCAAACTCCTTATTGGCACGCGTCTTAAAAGGAAGGTACTACAAGCATACCTCTCCTTTGGATGAACGACGTACATACTCACCTTCATATGGTTGGCGAAGTATTATGGCAGCAAAACCATTACTTATTTTGGGACTACGAAAGACGATTGGAACGGGCCGAGATACGAAGGTGTGGAGTGACCACTGGGTCCCTGATTCAGTGGCTCGCCCACCCAAGCCTGCTGACCACATTGTATACAGACTCCCCCAACTCCCCGTTCAGGCCCTTATTAGGAATGATACGAAGGAGTGGGATATACAGCTTTTACGGGAGTATTTTCAGCCGGATGATATTCCCCTAATCCTTGGGATTAAACCATCACAATCCGATACCCTGGACGGATATGTTTGGGACTACACAAAGACAGGGATATACTCAGTTAAGACTGGATACGACCTGCTACAGATGAACAAGACGAGACCTACTCAGGATTTGGTCCTTGAACCAAGTATCACTGGCCTTCTAGGTCACGTGTGGGGGATAGAGGCCCCGAGTAAGATGAAACATTTCTTATGGCAAGCTATTTCGGGCTGTGTACCAACAGCAGAGAGGCTCACTTACAGACACCTGGGCACCGATAGGAGTTGTCCTAGATGTGCTGGCCCAGTGGAGTCGATCAATCATCTTCTTTTTGAGTGCCCCCCAGCCTTGCAGGTTTGGGCTTTATCGGACTATCCGTCCATTCCGGGTGACTTCCCGAGTACATCTATTTACCAAAATATAAACTTCCTCTTTTGGAAGAGAAAAGAAGTGGCTCCTCGGAGACCACAATTCGACACCTTTCCATGGATCTGCTGGTACATATGGAAGGCAAGGAACGACAAACTCTTCAACGGAAAAGTCGTCTCCCCGATGGATACCCTCCAACATGCGTCTCTAGAGGCAGAATGTTGGAGGAAGGCAAACGAGAGCGAGGAGGATGAGGAGGCTCATGCGATTCCCTCTCCATTAGAGACAGTGACAGAACCCCCTGGGCTTCTCCGACTCCCAACCTGCCAAATCGATGCATCATGGGTCGATAATGGTAGTGTCAGTGGCTTAGGATGGAGTTGTCAGGATCACATGGGTGCTGAACACTTTGGACTACGGGCATGTAACAGAAGCCGATCAGCATTGCATGCAGAGATGGAAGGACTACTCTGGGCAGTCTCATGCCTGAAAGCCTTGAGGATTTCAGCGGTACGGATCGAGACGGACTGCTCGGATCTTGTAGATATGGCGACTAACCCGGATGACTGGCCAAATTTCGCGACAGAGATCGAGATACTTCAGAAATCACTGGAGGTCTTCGAGGATGTGAGCCTGTCTCATATTCCCCGTTGCAGGAATGGTCGTGCGGACGCACTCGCCAAGGAAGCAAGGAAGAAAGGATTTACATTCTCCCATATAGATCAGACCAGGTCACACGGAGGTCCCTTCGGGGGTATCGGCTCGTCTGACTACCACTTGATCTAGTAACAATGGGCTGTTGACAAAAAAAAAAAAAAAAAAAAAAAAGATGGGCATTCAAAATCTTCATACACCATCTTGAAGGAGTGTATTAGGGAGATATTTGATGAATATAAGAAAGTTTTAGCTGTAAAATTTTGGTAAATTCACATAAAACTATAATGTATGATTGGTTAGACAATGGGTGTAGCTCTATTACTGGAAGTTTAATTTTAGCTTTACATTTTTTGGTTTTAGCTGTAAATTTTTGGATGGATCAATTTGCTAACTAGGAGTCTAGGAACTCACCTCAACACAATCAATAAAAAAGTTACGAATATCAATGAAAACTATTATTTTGAAATCTGCATAAAAAAGGGAAACATGTGACAATGTTTTGAAAATATTATAGGAGATGAACCAAATCGTTCATACGCAAAAGTTATCTCTCTTTTATTCCTTCCAGTCCCAACCACTCTCTCACAAACCCACCAGACACATGACTGAGCCGTCCGAATGTTTTACCCAAATATCTTAAGCTTTGACGCCGAGTCTTGTTTTGAGCTCATCAGCAACTGCATCGATGAACTCCTCCGTGTTCAGGTAAGTGTCTCTCGATAGCCTTGAGAAAAAGAAAAGAAAAACAAACATAAATAAATCAATTTTTCATGGAACACAAGGGCAGAACAAGAAGAAGAATACGTCTCGTTGACTTACTTTGAGCCGTGAAGGATGAGAGCAAGATCTTTGGTCATTTTTCCAGACTCCACTGTACCGACACAAGCAGCTTCGAGCTTCTCAGTAAACTCCAAGAGCTTTGAGTTGTCATCTAACTTAGCCCTGTTCAAAGAGAGATTCGCATGCGCCTTAATATAATCAGCTTCTTCCTTTAAACAGAAACAATAATAAGCGTCGAAGGTTAGTTTTCTCGCTAACCTGTGTGCAAGTCCACGAGTCCAAGCAAAGATGGAGGCTATGCTGTTTGTGCTCGTCTCCCCACCTTTCTGATGAACCCTGTAGTGACGGGTAACTGTTCCATGAGCTGCTTCAGCTTCAATTGTCTTCCCATCCGGGCAGACCTAATCAAAATAACACAATCGTTGTAAAGGCAGAAACTTAGATTCAACACCTCAAAGAAAACATGTAACAGGAGATAAAGCCACGATATATACCAGAACAGATGTCATCAATCCAAGTGACCCGAATCCTACACATTATAAGATATTATTAGCTAACAAGAAACACAACGAAACCTTTGTGAATATGAAAAAATAACAGCAGAATATGTGAGATAGACATGAGCAGTTATGTGCATGTATATATTCATTTATCATCACACAAACCTTGTGCCAGGAAATCGCTTTGGACATCACCATCATAGTTTTTGCATGCCCACACATAGCCTCCCTCGCTCTTCAGAGCGTAAGCCACCATATCATCAATGAGACGGTGCTCATACCTAACCAATTCAATTTTTTAAGTCTTCCTCGGTCAAAGGTAACATACATAAGGCATTACTGAGATTCCAAGGATGAGTGGTGACTCACCATATTCCAGCAGCCTCATACTTTGACTTCCAGCTGGCTTCATACACTTCCTGGAAGATGTCTTTGAATCTTCATAGTGAAACGAAAATTCATCCAACATCAAATATGGACAGAGCAATTGGATAAAATGGTAAATTATCAAAAACTAACTGTCCACATACCTCCCATCGTATTTCTTAAGAATGGTGTTCTTTGTGCTAAGATAAAGTGGCCACTTTTTCTCATAAGCAGTGTTCATTGACGCCTCAGCGAAAGCACGGATGGACTATATTTACAAGGAGAAATATGTAACTTGATCACCAAAAGAACAAGTAGTTGTGACTGTAGTTGGAAGAGAGTGTGAGTATTACTATACCTCATCAGTGTTGTACATGGCCATAGCAACACCACCTTCACCGGTGAATGTGAACACTTCAGTTTCAGTTTTCCCATCTTTTCCCTCTGAAGATCAAAGACATTAGAGATTTTATTGGAAATAGGAAAAAAAAAAGAGATTTCAAAATTATACAATGGTCAGTCCAAAATGAGATGACCAATGAAAGGTAGTGAGTTTACCGAAAGTCATAGTCAGTTTTCCTGGTCCCTTGATGACAGCATCAGTGGCACGGTACTGATCACCAAAAGCATGTCTTCCAATGCAGATGGGCTTTGTCCAGCCTGTAGAAAGCAATACATATTTTATCAGAACCCTTTTGGCAATAAAAATATTAATGGAATTAGATCATTTGTCAATAAATTACCTGGGACAAGCTTGGGAACATTTTTGCAGATAATTGGTTCCCTAAATACAGTTCCTATGAGAATGACAAGCACAGTGTAAGATAGCAGGGAGTGATATTTGATAGGCTTTAAACAATACAATTGTGTAATTCTCACCATTCAGAATGTTCCTTATGGTACCATTTGGACTTCTCCACATCTGCTTCAATCCAAATTCCGTTACACGGCCTTCATCTGCAAACAAAAAAAGATCAATACTTCATAAAATGAGAACACCAGAAAAATTGTTTAATTTGCAATGAGTCTCTATCAAAAACATACCTGGAGTGATGGTGGCACACTTGATCGCCACATTATACCTAAAAACAAAATTACACAAGCAGCAGATGTTAGTAAGCAAAACGAAAAAGTTGGGGGGGGGGGTTGAGTGGTAAAGTAAGTTTCAAAAAGAAGCATACTTCTTAGTGGCTTCAGCACTTTCAACAGTAACTTTGTCATCGGTAGCATCACGGTGAGGAAGACCAAGGTCGAAGTATTTGATATCCAACTCCACAAAAGGGGTAATAAGCTGAAAAAAACATTTGAGCAAAAACGAATAAATACCCAAAATAAAATGAAACCGCACATATTAAATATGAATCAGAATATTTAGCTACCTTGTCCTTGATGGACTTCCAGATAACTCGGGTCATTTCATCACCTATTTACACAAAAGACCATAAAGTGTGAGTAAAAGGCCACCAAATAAAACTAAGAAATGGAACATCGTATCTGAAGATGAAAATGAAAGCTTTTCTTAAATCTAGAACAATTACTAATGCTGGTCCCACTTTCAGATATAGCTATAATATGTAATCAAGGCTAGAGCTTTTCATCAGATCATAAAACTTAAACTAATCGATCGACGAACAGAGATACGTTTTTCTTTTTCTTTTGCCGGATCTATAACGTAACACACGTTCACAAAGTAAAAAAACTAAACTTAGTTTAAAACATGCTTTATGTTCCAGTTTTTTCAGATCACAACAAAACATCGATACAAACTAGGCAAAGTGAAAGGTAATACGTTTTCATCATCGCATCATAAACCAAGTGTGAAGATCTGAGAGTACAAAAAGGTTTAGAGAGAGTTTGAGTAAGAGAAATCTCACCATCCATCTCAACGATGGGATTTGCCACCTTGATCTTCTCAAACGCCATTGTTTTTTTTTTTTTCTTAAGAGAAAAATACTCTGATTCAATAGATCAGAAAGGGATGTTAACCTCGTAGAGATGCGGATCGTCCGAGGCTGGTGTTGTGAGTAGGTGAAGAAAGGCTGTGCAGAGGAGGGGGAGGTTATATTTATGGTTTCTTCTTGATATTATTTTTGGACCCCATTAGTTTTTCTTTTTCCATTTTTGTCCTTCCTTTCATTTTTCTTGTTCTGGCCGCCGATGATGAAATGTTCCTATACACATCGCCTTCCAAACTTTTCAATATACTTCTTTTTTTTATTCGCATATAGCAAACTAGCAGATTTCTTCTAATTTAATCAATTAAAATGTTATTACATTTCAGACTCTCTAAAAAATTAAATGAATAGGCTATGTTATGTTTATATACTTGGTTTTATAAATTTTTTTTTTCTTTTTTTTTAAAATTAATCGCATGTTAAAAGTTGTATCACTCTAGTTGGTTATATAATAACAAAGCTCTACTAACTATATTAATGTAGGAAACAGATCATGTTGTCTTCTAGTATTTATTAGTTGGATCAAAATGCAGAAAAGTGGTCACTTCACATGCACTTTGGGTGGATATACTCTACCAATGAATATATATAAATGTTAATAAAAAATATCCCCTTTTCTTAAAAGATGCTGACCACCTAACCAAATCCATTTTGTTTTTGTTTTCTTAACAACCATATTCTTTTTAGTTCTTAATTTTTATATAAATTTAGACATTTCCGTTATACCCAAAATTTAGATAAATATTTTCTTTATTCTTATAATCTCTGATATAATAGGATTACCAATCTCATTTTATTTTTTAATTTAAAATAAAATTTGAAGTTAAAAAACTCTGATCTCACACTATTTTTTTACCCTATAATAGAATAAAACTAAGATTAGTCTATATATAAAGTAATATATTTATTTTTGTTCATCATTTTATTTTCTATTCTAAAATAGACTATCACTAAAGTAGAAATTAGTTCTATTGTAGAATTGTTTTATTTTGAAAGAAAAAATAAAGTGAATTATTGGAATTGGTCTAATGTGTTCCATTACAAGCAGCATATCTGAATTTTATGAACCAATACTAAGCTGGCTCTGTATTTAGCTACCATCCCAAGATGTATTTTCCCAAAAAAGGTATAGACATGATGGTTTTTTTATATAAGCAATAATCAGTGTCGGTTTAATAAAAAAGGGTGCGTCAGTGCGACTATCCAGAACTGGGCAATTGACCATAATAGACCATTTGAAGTTTTTGTCCCCAAAAGAGCATCAGAAGGAAAAAGTCACAAATATAACCTTCATTAATAGGCTAAAAGACTTTAACACCCTTACATACAATATAATTAAAAAAAAACCTTTGCTTCTCTCTCGACATTTTCATCGACGTAACGGGCGAGGATCACAGCGACGACGACACCAGTGACGACATTGACGACGATAGCGGTGTTAATCTATATTGACAACACTCTTAGCAGTGAAATTGAAACTTACAAATGTAAGTTTGAGGTTTTCAATAGTTATTTGTAATTAGGGATTTTGATTCAAAATTTGGGGATTCCTTCGGTGATGTTGCAAGAGCATTTCAGCTGAAAAAAAGGAACCTTCTTCATATTCTTAATGAAGCTTGTCAGGCTCTCTTCTTCTTTACTGTTGTAGTTTCAGATTTATGGCTTGGAGTTTCTATTGTCAACACTTTTTTCCCCACGGATTTTGATTTACGGAACAGGTTCCTGAATCCAGAAACTCCTGCTAGAGGCACACACCATCAAGAACGCAAATGCTCAGCAGAGCAGGGCGGTTTGTAATCTGAAGGTTCCTGGTACGTGTGGACGGCGGTTAAGTGAGGACAAAGAGAAGTAACTCTAGTTTAATAAAAAGTAACCATGGTTAAGTTAGTTTACTTTTATGCTTGATCTATATATGAGCTGTGGGGGTTTTGGGGAAATGGTATATGGGTTTTAGTGGTCAGAGAGAGAAAGGAGACGCCATTAACGTGTCTTTGAAATCCTTGGATCTGTGCTTCCTCACTCCATGCATGAGAGGTTTCATTCGCCAAGACCACCGGAGATGATAGTCAAACTGCTCAAACAGTGTTGTGGTGGGTGCTGGAGTTACTGGTGGAGTTACAGCGTGTTCAGAGCAATGAAAAAGAAAGTGATTTATTGCGTTTTAAATTCTTGTTATTGGGTGAGAGAAATCAGCAACTGCAGAACATGCTTAGACAGGAGGAACAGCTGGACAGGGAGATGGGGTTCTGCCTTAAGCTACTTGAAGGCGATGATGCTAATATTGGAGAAACCATAGCGTGGGTAAAGGCTTATAGTTATTATTTTTGGTTGCAAAACTTTAAGTCTGTGTGTTTGTGTACAAATGTGACTGATAAGTCAAAGCTGCTGCAGAAGCTGGTTGCCATATTGCACGACGGCTAGTTTAATTGTTTAATTTACATTTGAGTTTGTTTTGTTAGAGTCCTTAGCTTAATAAGAATATTAAATCTCTTTGCCTTCTCAATACTCTTTAAGAAGAATACCCAAAATTGATGTGACTAAACACATGCTTGTAACGAAATTCAAGGCTTCTTTAGATGTATCTTGCATCTTTATTGCATCATTGCCACTAGTTGTTTGCATAAATCATGTTTCATGCTTCTTTACTTGGATTTTTTTTTGTCTTTTTGTTTTAGGAAAATAAAATAAGCAGGAACAGTTGAACAGATTCTAGACGCATGCATCCTTGGTTACAGAGCTCCTGAGCTAGCAGCTTTAAGGAAACCGTTATCGTCTTTCAAAGCAGATGTTTATGCCTTTGGTGTGATACTTCTTGAGATCTTAACGGGACGATGCGCAGGAGATGTGATCACAGGTGATCAAGAAGGAGTTGATTTAACTGATTGGGTAGATTACGTGTTGCTTAAGGAAGGGGTGGGGAGTGCTTTGACTCGGTGTTGACACATGAGATGGGAAGTGATTCGGTTACGGAGAAAGGGACGAAAGAAGTACTTGGGGTTGCTTTGAGGTGTATAAGACCAGTTTCTGAGAGACCTGGTATTAAGACCATTTATGAAGACTTATCATTTATTTAAAAATATTGTTCTCTCTCGTTCTGTTTTTGTTTTTCTAGGTTGGAGTTGTATGTTTTTTTTTTTTGTTTCTGGAGAAGCATGCTCTTCATTTAAGGCTGTGTCTTGTGTGTTTCTTGTGTTTTGACATTTTCGGGATGGGTTTCCAGAAAAATAAAATGTATTTTCTTATATCATTATAAAACACATATGTTATATATGATAGTTTTTGGCGCTTCCAGGATGGGTTTCCAGAAAAATAAAATGAGTGTGTTTTCTTGCATAAGTTTGTTTTCGAAAAGAATCAAAAGTGGGTAAGGAATATTAGACAGTCTTTGTTCAGGATGACTATCCTAAATTGGAACTTAGTCTTCCCAAAGAAAACATAATTAAAAGGATCTATAAGAAAATTAATTGACTATAGAAATCACCAAATAGAATTTATTGTCTACAAAATAAAGAACACATATCAAACATAAACATTAAAATAGGACAGCTTGAAGCATTTTCAATAATTCTATCTAGAAAATGTTAAATGTGGTATCATTATAAAACACCTATGCTAATATATAGGATAGCTTTTGGCATTTTCAGGATGGGTTTCCAGAAAAATAAAATGAGTGTTTTCTTGTATCTTTATAAAACACCTATGTTATATATGATATCTTTTGGCACTTTCAGGATAGGTTTGCAGAAAAATAAAATGAGTGTGTTTTCTTGCATAAGTCTGTTCTCGAAGAGAATCAAAAGTGGGTAAGGATGTCAGACAGTCTTTGTTCATGATGGCTATCATAAATTGGAACTTAATCTTCCAAAAAAAAAACATAATCAAAAGGATCTATAAGAAAATTCATTGGCTATAGAAATCACCAAATAGAGTTCATTTTTTACAAAATAGAGAACACATATCAAACAGAGAACATTAAAATAAGGCAACTTGAAGCATTTTCAATAATTATATCAAGGATGTGTTAAATGTGGTATCATTATAAAACACCTATGTTATTATATAGGATAGCTTTTGGCACTTTCAGGATGGGTTTCGAGAAAAATAAAATAAGTGTGTTTTCTTATATCATTATAAAACACCTATGTTATATAGGATAGCTTTTGATACTTTCAGGATGGGTTTCCAAAAAAATAAAATGAGTGTGTTTTCTTGTATCATTATAAGACACCTATGTTATATAGGATAGCTTTTGGCACTTTCAGGATGGGTTTCCAGAAAAATAAAATGAGTGTTTTTTTTTGCATACGTCTATTTTCGAAGAGCATCAAAAGTGTGTAAGGAATGTTAGACAGTCCTTGTTCAGGATGACTATCCTAATTTGGAGCTTAATCTTCCAAAAAAAACATAATAAAAAGGATCTATAAGAAAATCCATTGGCTATAGAAATCACAAAATATAGTTCATTGTCTACAAAATAGAGAACACATATCAAACAGAAATCATTAAAATAGGATAGTTTGAAACATTTTCAATAATTCTATCAAGAAAGTGTTAAATGTGGTATCATTATAAAACACCTATGTTATATAGGATAGCTTTTGGTACTTTCAGGATGGGTTTCCAGAAAAATAAAATGAGTTTATGTAGTTTCAGGATTGCTTTCCAGAAAATTCTATGTTGACAAATTTTAATTTTTTTTCCCTGGTGTCTTCTTGTTTGGCTTAGGCATGTTATATCTTTGGTAGGCTCGAGAATTTGCTTATGACATTGTTAATCTCTTGCTTGTGCTTGTGCTTGTGCTTGTGCTTGTGAAACTGTGTAGTATTTTTACAATTTCAAGAAGGATTTGTGTAGTTTCAGGAAAGCTTTCCAGATATTCAATGATAAAAAAAAATTGAATTTTTTTTTGTTGCTTTGTGTCTTCTTGTTTGGACTACGCCTGTTGATGTCTTTGGTAGCCTGTTGGATTTTTCTTATGAAATTTCTATACAATTGCTCGTGTTTGTGAAACTGTCTAGTGTTTATAAAAGTTTCAAGAAGCATTTGTGTAGTTTCAGGAAAGCCTTCTAGAATATTTTTTTTGCTTGGTGTCTTGTTTTACTTAGGCATGTTGATATCTTTGATAGGCTCTTGACTTTGCTTATGAGTCTCTTGTTGCTCGTGCTTGTGAAATTGTCGTGTTTATAAAAAATTTAGGAAGCATTTATATAGTTTCAGGAAATCCTTCCAAAAATAGTTTGAAATTCAAAGATATCGATCCATTTTAAGTTAAGAATGCAGAAGGGTTTCTAAAGATATAATTTCCATTCAACGGTGGTATATTTTTTTGTCAAGATGCTGGAATGCAGGTCATTGGGATTGAAGAGCATGGTCAATATAAATGATGATACTGCGATGGACCTACGAAGCAAGCTATGTTGTGAGGTCTTCGACAAGTTTATGGATAAAGATTTCCAGGAAGGTAGCAGGAAGTGAAAATGTCACACTCGTTATGTTTTATACTATGTTTTTGAACTTTGATGTTACTTGAACAAAAAGAAGTTTGTAATGAATGATCACTACTACGTTTTTATCATTTAGATTGTTATTGAAGAAATTTGAGGATGTCTAGGATAACATGTGGCACTCTCAGGATGGTTTATCAGAAATAAAAATGAGTATTTTAAACGTTGGAAATAACTTTAGAATTTCTGGATGGGTTTCCAGAATAGTTGAATATTTCTGTGTTTTTTTCTTAATCTAAAAAAAAAATGAAATGAGATCAAAACTAAAGATTGATATCTGCTGCATACTTGGAAAATCTCAAATTGTGATTTGGAATTTTGAAGAAAAAAAGAACAAATATACACAACTATCATGACTCTAACCTGAGATGTCTAGGCATGGGGAATAAGGTGTGGCCACTAAGCCAATTGGATTTATATTGTTCAGTGATGTAAGGGAAGTAATATAATCTATTTACTTTTTATTCAATTAAAAAATAAAGTACGAGTCCGAATACCTTTGGAATTGAACACGGGTCGAGGCAAGTAATTCAGTTTCATAAGATATGTGGTTTAGCCGCTAGGCTGAGGAGAATCATCTGGTATAATATAAAGCATAATATAGTTAACCATAAATTTTTACTAAAAACATTGGAAAGAACTTTAGATTTTCTGGATGGGTATCCAGAATAGAATATCAGTTGTCACATTCAGGATGGCTTTCCAGAAACAAATTTGAAAACAAGATTACCTAGATACAAGACCAGTAATCTTCTAAATTCTTAACTTTTTTTTTGACTGAAACACAATACAAGAGAGAAACACTATAAAAAAAAAATACTGATTCCATTTAAAATAAAAACTAATAATAAAACATGATGTGGGTTCTTAAAACATATAAAAAGAAGTTGGTAATATTAGATTAATCAACCATCCATTTCCATCCAAGCTTGAACCAATCATGGACTTTGACCTCACATCAGCCAGGTTTCCTTCTGCTTCAATGTGCTTCTGCTTCATTTTTATTTGATTCAATCTCTTTTATCACTTAGCCATCATGACTTTAACGAATTCATCATAGTTGATCTGGCCATCGCATCAACATTAGCTTCTCGGATCATCTCATTAACTTCCTCATGGGTTAGCTTCTCTCCAAGGCTGCTCATCACATGTCGAAGCTCTGCTGCAGAGATGAAAAAATTTTCAGAAAAATAGTACCAAAAAAACAAACTTTTTTTTCAGAGACCAAAGAACCTATAATCAAATTATTATTTTTTCTGTAAGCATCACAAAATTTAAACAACTTATCTCATTAAATCCAAATCCTTAGTCTTTAACCTCATTTCATTTTTTTAAATTTAAACTTTCATACAAATTGGAACACTTTTTTATTTCTGGAAACCCATCCAGAAAACGTGAAATGTCTTCCTAACAGATACACAAGAAGGAGTTAAAGTTAATTATGTGTTGACAATAAGGAAAAATGTTAGGATAGCATGTATTAACAAGCTTACATATATATCATATTTATGATAGTATGTAAAAATATTTAGGAAGAGCTTCCTAAAAAATGTAATATTTAATTAAAAATAAAATGTTAGCATAACAAGTAAAATATTTAGGAAGGATTTTCTAAAAAAAATAATATTTAATTAAATTTGTTTTTTTTGCTTGGTGTCTTCTTGTTTGGCTTAGACATGTTGATATCCTTGGTAGGCTCGTGAATTTGCTTATAGCATTGTTAATCTCTTGCTTGTGCTTGTGCTTGTTCTTGTGCTTGTGAGACTGTGTAGTGTTTTTAAAATTTTAGGAAGGATTTGTGTAGTTTCAGGAAAGCTTTCCAGAAAATCCGATGTTAACAAATATGAATTTTTTTTTGCTTGGTGTCTTCTTGTTTGGCTTAGGCATGTTATATCTTTGGTAGGTTCGTGAATTTGCTTATGACATTGTTAGTCTCTTGCTTGTGCTTGTGCTTGTGCTTGTGCTTGTGCTTGTGCGTGTGCTTGTGCTTGTGCTTGTGTTTGTGAAGCTGTGTAGTGTTTTTAAAATTTCAGGAAGGATTTGTGTAGTTTCAGGAAAGCTTTCCAGATATTCGATGATAACAAATTTGAATTTTTTTTTGCTTTGTGTTTTCTTGTTTGGATTACGGCTGTTGATATCTTTGGTAGCCTCTTGAATTTGCTTATGACATTTTTAGACAATTGCTTGTGCTTGTGAAGCTTTGCAGTGTTTTTAAAATTTCAGGAAGAGTTTATTTAGTTTCAGGAAAACTTTTCGAAAAATTCGATGTTAACAAATTTAAACTTTTGAAAAAAAAAAGATAAGGAACAATTTACATCTCCCACTAGTCAAACCTGAGAACTCTACAAAAGGGCATCACAGTGTGCGACCACTAGGCCAAGGGTGTTGGAGATTTAAGTTCTTTATAGAAAAAATTTCTGATTTCTGAATGTAATAAGAAAACATTTTACTTATTTTGGATGATTTCACAAAACAAAAAATAATAGAAAATTTTTAACAGACGTTGGAAAACATTTCAATTTTTTGGATGGACTTCCAAAATAATATAATAGTGTATTTTTATCAAAGTTTAAAGTAGAAATGAAATGATATAAAAAAACACTAAGAATATGATATCTATATTTTTGATAAGTTTCAAAAACAGACTTATGCAAAAAAAACATACTCATTTATTTTTGAAAACTCATTCTGAATGTACCAAAAGCTATCCTAACAATTACAATAATGATACCACATTTAACACTTTCTTGATTGAATTATTGAAAATGCTTCAAACTATCATATTTTAATGTTCTCTGTTTGATATGTGTTTTCTTTTTTTGCAGACAATGAACTCTATTTGGTGATTTTTATAGCCAATGAATTTTCTTATATATTTTTATTATATTTTTTTTTTGGAAGATTAAGTTCCAATTAAGGATAGCCATCATGAAACAAGGACTGTCTAACATTCTTTACACGATTTTGGTTCTCTATACCTAAAAAGCAAGTGAGACACATAAGAAAATTATTAATCATTCTTTGTTGTTTGCATCATTTTTTTTTTGTTTTTGTTAATTTTTCTAAGTTTTATCTTATTGACCTAAAAATGGAAAGATAATTTAGTGAGAATCAATGAGTTTAAACTTTAAAAATAACTTGTTCCTAGAAGTTTAATAAGACTGAAAGCTCAAACATTGAAAATCTCTAACTTGTCTGATCACTAAAAGGAAAAGAGTAATGCTTCTTAACGCAAAAAGACAGAACAAAGCAACTAGATGTTCTCCTTCTCTTCACTCCAGGTACTTGAACAGGATACCTTAAAGATCATGATACGAAATATAATTTAAGGTCAGTATAGGATAATCAATCATGCAAAAACTGTCTGGATTTGGTAGAAACGAATTATAGTTCAAAGAAAAAAATCTACACCGCTAATAGTACTTGAGAAAGAAAAACCCAAAATAATAGTTTCAGCCATAGAAAAGATAAGTAGAGAAAACCATTAGCTGCAGTCATTGGAACCTTTTAGTCGACTTCCTCCATCTTGCTACCTTCAGCATCAGCATCATCTTCAAGCGGAGGCATCTCTGCATCAGCTTCCACTGCATCATCCTCATCAATGCTCAATCCCAGCTTCAACATCCTGTGGATTCTGCTCCCGAAAGTGTTGGGCTCGTCTAGGCTGAAACCTGAAGTGAGAAGAGCAGTCTCAAACAGGAGAAGAACAAGATCTTTCACCGACTTGTCATTCTTGTCAGCTTCAGCTCTCTTCCTCAGCTCGTCCATGATCGAATTCTCTGGGTTGATCTCCATAGTTTTCTTGGAAGATCAAAGCCATGCTGATGTCTCTCAAAGCCTGCGCTTTCATGATCCTCTCCATGTTTGGATCCAGCCATAATCACCTGTTACCAGACAGCAAGGTGAGTCCACAAAACGGTCAGAGACAATAACCTTCTCAACCTTGTCTTCAAGAACGTCCTTGATCACTTTTCAGAGTCCCTCAAAAGAGGATATACATCACTCTCACTAGGATATCTGATGCACAGAGACATGATTAAATGAGTGATGCATATTTCACAATGTGTTAAGGCATGAACGCAAAGATAGACAATAACTTAGGTGGCAGCCACGTAATACTACCCCCTAATAACTTACTCGGCCAGGAAACACAGGGCCAACACAAGTAAAATATGCAAAAACTGAGTTGCGACACAACATGGAAATAACACTACAAAGAATCAAGCTTTACAAACCTTTAGTATCTCAATATTTGTCAAATCGTTCGCCCTGTCACTGAGCAATTTGAGCATAAGTGCTGATTTCTCTGCTTATGTCACTATTATTGAACCCAAAATCACAAGAATCTATCAAAATGAATCAATTTCATAACTCTTTCATCAAATTGAGAATTAAAAAAGTAACATTGATACGAGATACCTTTAATACGATGAAATCAAAAGTATAATTGAGACAGCGATTGGAGTTGAGAAAGACAAACGTAGATAATGACGGCAGAGATAGTGGCGAAAGAGATAACCAACGGCGACGAAAATATCGATGGATTTGAGTCACGCCGGAGAAGATGATATCGGGGATGAGAGACGATGTTGAGGTTGGAGACGACGTCAGGATTTTTAATATCTTTTTATTTAATATAATTAGAGAAAGAAAGGGGTATAAGGGTAAACCATCACTCTAATGAAACCTATTTTTGTGACTTTGAACCTTGGGTGCTAGTTTGGGGACAAAAACTTAAATTGGTGCTATTTTGGTCTTTTTTTCTAAAAGTTTTTTCCCAAGGCCCCTCTCATATTAATCCGGCCCTGGCTACGATGTTGGCATATGAACGGATAAATAGTTTGTCTTTTCTGGAAATTTCTGACGCATAAGGGCAACAAAATTGATTGGAATGACTATTGTAGTATGAAAGATTTGAAAGAAAAAAAGAGAACTTTTGAAATTTTGATGAAGCATGAAAAATATAGCAAAAACTGAAGTTTCATTTATACACCCTAAAATCCATAATTAGGACATATCTTTACACTTTGGTAATATATAGAAGAATTGGATGTTCTCTTGAAAGAGAAAAATGGATGTACGAGTCTTGGAATGTCCTTGTCGCCTTATAGATCAGATGGATTATTTTCTGATGGTTAACAAAGAAAGACTCTTCAAGAGAAGAACAGACGTTCAAAACCTAACGTCTCAAAACTTTATCCAAGCCAATTCGATGTGGACGTTTCAAGTTTCATCAAACTCGTTATCATTTTCTTTTTCCTTTGTCTTTAAAAACATATATTACATATATGGTTCCTATAATCGGTTAACTGTTCTTGACTTGTAAGATCTCGTGTACATTGGTGGGGCATTCATTAGTAGTTTTTAGTGGTACAGAGGTTGTACCTACGATTCATCTCAAAGACATAATAGTCTTAAATCTTAATACTAGGAACAAACAACTAGTCCAATACAATGCCGGCCCATTAATTTCGGTGGCATAAAGCCCACACAAAAATCTTAATAATTCAAAGAACATACATTTTTTTTTACAAAGCACATACTTAGAACAATGCATGAATTCATTATGGGCGCCCAAATGCGCGTGATTATTCTCTAAGGTTGCTAACAAGAGAATTGAACTGAAACAGTCTAGAGATTAGAGCCACACACAACAAGTTCCACTAACAAAATGTTAGATATAATATAATTGTTAGAAACAGCCTAAATCCCATGCTTCACTAGCTTTAAGCAAGGAACGGGTCTGGTGCACTATCCTTAACTGGACGTAAAATTAGGTAGATACCCAAGCGGTTTAAAAAAAACTAAATTTGTTGAACATTTTATGCTTGCAATGCCTGAGTATACCCCTTCTTTTATTCCAAACTAAGTCTCCGAGAGTACACCTCAGAGGATATACAAGATTTGGTGGTAGTATCGTGTTCCTCACATAAGTCTGTGTAGAGAGTATTCCTCCATTCAGTTTTTTGTGTATCTACGGAGAAAATACACAAAATATTGTGACGTGGTCCTCCTCGACGAGCACCGGAGCGTGTCTTGCCAGCCGTCCGTTGTCGCTTAAAGAGACCTCCGGGTTAACCACGGTAAATCATAGCCCTTTTTTCTCCTCTATCCTTCTCGTGTTTAGGAAGTGCTTAGATTATGACCAATATTGCCGATGTTTTTCTTTTATTTTGAAAAAATATTGCTGCTGTTTGTTGCTGATTTGTGTTTCATTGCTGGATCATGAATAAGTCAAGCTTAATAATCGGAGCTGAATGAGTTTCTTTAGCTCTTAATTTGTTTCCTATTATTTCTCCGTTAGTTTCTCTTTCAAGTTGTTAAGCTTCTATAAAAGCTCTTGTAATCGTTTTAATTCAATAACAAGAAATCATTCAGACTTCTTATTCTCTTAGCAAACAATCTTTTGATTTATAAGTTCCTTTATCTGGTATCAGAACATATACAATGAGTGTTCAAGGAGAGAAACACTACCGAGATGATGACATACAAGAACTTCACCACACCATCGATTCCAAAGTTCGACGGAGATTACGATCACTGGAGTTTGCTCATGGAGAATATTCTGCGCTCCAAGGAGTACTGGTGTGTCACTGATCCAGGATACGAGGATCTGAGAAGCGTTGTTACTGCTGATCAAGAACAACAAAAATTTCTTGAAGAAGCAAAACTCAAAGACCTCAAGGTTAAGAACTACATGTTCCAATCAATTGACAAGACTATTCTGAATACTATCACTCAGAAGGAGACGTCTAAACAACTTTGGGACTCGATGAAAGTGAAGCATCATGGAGGCGCTCGAGTGAAGCGAGCACAACTTCAGAGACACATGAAGAGCTTTGAAAAATTGGAGATGAAGGTTGGAGAAACAGTAGCCAGCTATTTTTGTAGATTCATAGAGACGACCAATGACATGAAGAAGTGTGGAGAAAATATTGATGACATCAAGATTGTTGAGAAGATCCTTCGCAGTCTCACCGAAAACTTCAACTTTGTGGTATGTTCAATCGAAGAGTCCAAAGACATTGACATGCTCACGGTAGACGAGTTGCAAGCGTCCTTGCAGATACATGAGAGCAAGGTGACTGAGAAGAAGAATGAAGAACAAGTCCTGCAAGTTGAAAATGAACCTCGAGGAGCTCGAGGGAGCAAATTGGAGATGAAGAGGAAGAAGCGGCAACAAAGGACGTGGGAGGGGCAGATCTTATGTCAAAAAATCAGCTATTGATTACTTCAATTGTGGAAAATTAGGGCACTACTCTTTTGAGTGCACTGAGAAGGCAAACTATGCTGAGTTTGATGAAGAGGAAGAGCTACTGTTTATGGCACACGCAGACATGAGTAAGACTGAAGGAAAAGGGGTATGGTTTCTCGATTCTGGGTGCTCTAACCACATGATAGGTGAAAATCATGGTTTACAGAGTTGAAAAAAGGTTTCAAGCACTCGGTTCGCTTGGGAAATAACTCAAGATTGGCGGTAGAAGGAAAGGGTACCATCAGAATCGAAGTTGAAGGGATCATACATGTCATAACTGATGTTTATTACATACCAAACCTCACCAGCAATCTACTGAGCATTGGACAGCTACAAGAGAAGCAGTTGAAGTTCATCATTGAAAATGGGAGTTGCAGAATCTACCAAGGGTAACGGTATCAATACACACATGTCTATGTATCTAGATGTTGCAAATTCTCTCTCACTGTCTCAAGGATGGCGGAGACATGCCAAGTTTCGCTTTGTTATCGTGAACCAATCCAACGTCGCCAGGTCCAAACGTCTAGGTGATACAAAAAAAGAAAACTCTATCTTTTAATTTCACAAATCGCAATTATCATGAGAAAAAAATATCAAATCAACCAGTTTTCTCTAGAAATTACAATGTTTATTGTTTTTGTTTGTCTCTTGGACAGAAACTACTCACATCTTCAACGAGAGAAAGTCAAACCGGGGTTTCAAAAAGACCTTGCGTCTTACCAAACTTCAAGAGGAAATGTTTCTTGTGAACGACAAACTTAAAATTGAAGTCTACGTAGATGTATATAGTGTTAGAGGTGTACTTGATCCACATGTGTTACCTGAAAAGAAGAACCAGACCGTATGTGTCAATGGCTTCCAAGTTCTTGATTCGCAAGTAAAGTCAGCAAAGTATTTTGAGAGTTTCCCGGAAACAACATTGTCATAACTGTCATAATCGAAGTTGAAGGGATCATACATGTCATAAATGATGTTTATTACATACAAAACCTCACCAGCAATCTACTTAGCATTGGACAGCTACAAGAGAAGCAGTTGAAGTTCATCACTGAGAATGGGAGCTGCAGAATCTACCACCGCCAGAGAGGTCTAATCAAATAATCAAATATATATTCATAGGAAACTATATAAGATTTATAATATTATAATCAACACAGTAATTTTTGAAGTATTATGTTCAATATCACTTGGATATTTAACAAAACATATTTGTAATTTTATATAAATAATAGTTTTCTCAAATAATCATTAATAAACCATACTAATAATTAATTTAATATTAAGAAAACAAATAACAAGTAATAGTAATCTAAGTAGTTAAAAAAAATTTGATACTTGATTTGTACTTGCAAAATTTTAATCTGATATACTTATTACTTGTCTTGATCATTCCAAATACTTGGTTTACGAGTCAAGTATCGAACAAATACTAAGTACAAATCGATTATCAAATATTTGTATTCAGCTCTGTTCATATACTTCTTCATTTGTATATGGCAAACTAGCAGCTTTC